ACGTTAAGTAAATGTATCAGCGGTATATTAAAAGCAATTGCTTTTGTTGGATTTCATAGAGGATTTATTCTCCCTATAAAACAATGATAATTTAAGGCTCGCAAGTTATTTCGGAAGCTCCTCAAAGCAGAATTTCAATTTTAATTTAAGTCCGATGATAATCGACACCTTCACCATGTTTATTCACATAAACGAACGAAACGCCTCGAGCTCGACAATTCGCGTCCCTCCAAACGCACTCCCAACAGCCCCAGGAGTCGTCTCAACTGGATTCACGGGACCCGAAACTGTTGAAAATAAGGCGACCCCAGCGTCAGCCAAGGCGTCGAGGTTCGCGCCATCGTGACCTGGATTATTTCAATCGCTGCTATTTCTGCGAATTTAACGAAAATAAGCGATTGGCGGAAACGGCGTCTGCTTAGCCAACTCGAGGCCGCTCCGCATTCGCGACGACAAGTGATTCCCGCCTCCTTTCCTCCCGCGGCTTCCATGAATTCACGGCTCGGTCAACATCCTTACCTTTACGAGCTAATAATAAGGTCGCATGGTAATGAGACTCAAGGAGATAATCTATTAAAAGACAATGCCAGTTATCGGTTATTAACGGAAATCATTGATACAATGTTTACTCGCGATATTAATGTTGGCGCGCGTTTTCCGAGCGGCCGCGTATATTTGCTATATTTGCTCCCTTTTAACGGCATGAATGACATTAGTGAAGATCCTATTATTAGGAGGATCGATTTCGTTATTCAGGATATTGTTCGGTGCGGTCTTCGTCGTCGTCGTTATAGTCGTTGTCATAGTCGTCGTCGACGTTGTGTCACATCGTGCATTAGCCACGCGCCATTATACTGCAAATTCATCTTTATAACTCAAAATGTTTCGTTCGAAGAACTCATTTAAAATCTCTAAATGCAATATTAACTGAACCGTTAGTCGCTGATGCGCGCAGACATTCCTCGCTACCGGCATACCTCCTCCTAGCCGATATATCGTCATCGATTCTCCAAACCTATGTCTTTGTCTTTGTCTTACCCACATCCTTCTCTGCGACGCCATTACAATCGACATCACGTAAACACGTCAATCTATCTTGGCTAATAATACAATGAGAATGTTATTTCTTTCGCGAATGTGCCGGTATTCGTCACTTGTCGCTCGGCTACTCGAGGGAGCAGCCCTATGCACTACGTCTACCGTAAATAGTTTTCCTTCTGTCTTCTACTTGGGTTTAATAAATTCGCGCGGAGCCCTCGCTTCGATGCAAAAACCGACTGCGTTCGTTTAATTTAAGCTTGTGCAACGTTCTCCCGATAACTGTGGATTAATATATTTGCCATATTTTGCGCAACACGGGCCTTGAGGATAAGCGAGCACGTAATATTAAACGAGAATGAATTATTTTGTAAATTTCTAAGCTATTCATAATAAAATATACCAATGATTAAATATTCAATTTGACTATTGTTCTTTTTCATCATCTACAATCGAGCGTTTGATTAATCTTATAATAATTAATCGCTTAAAAGTCAAGATTTATCGATGCTTCGAGGATTAGAGAACAGAGAGAGAGAGAGAGAGAGAGAGAGAGAGAGAGAGAGAGAGAGAGAGAAATCTATTTATTTATCTATTTTTTTCTTCTTCTTCTTTTTTTGCGTTGAAAATAACGAAATTTTGTTTCAATTTCAACGGACAATGATTCTAATTTCTCTTAATACCTGATAATACATCATTTTAAATTGATATTGTTCATATTGTACATGAGATTTTGTCGCTCGGGGATGTCTGGATATTAAGAGAAGTAAAATTCATCTACAGCAGTCGTTTTTAACGCTCTCATTATAAAATCTATCATTGGTAATAACGGTACATTTCGTATTGGCAATTATTATTTCTGAAATAATGGCTTTCGACTCGATTATGAGAGACAGTCTCATTGGGCTATTTATTCAATGTCGATTATCAATTGATTATCATAAAGGTCTAGTAGCTAAAAGCAACTCGAGTCGAATAAACTCAGGAGGCAACGATTGCTTATGAATAATATTAAATTCACATTTTAGATGGAACTTGCTAACGTCCAGACTCTGACTTCCGACGAAACTTTGCGATTGTCTTCGCGTAATACTTTGCTCAACACCAACTTAATACAATATTATATTTTACAATTTACAATATTTTCCAATATTTACGAAATATAATCGATAAGAGTTATCGAGCAATATGAGTATAATCGCGAGACTATACGAATAAACAATGCGCCCACAAGGCTACGCAAGCATCAGCTGGCCGAACAATTTAGCCGCGAAAAGGAGACAAAGGACTATTGAATACACCGACTATAATTAAAAATAAGCTTTCCTTCAAGATAAATTCATTTTAATTGAAGCGCAACAGTATCTATAGAATGAAAGCAAAGATAAAGGACGTTGCTGCGAAGGAATAAATATAGGAATAAGAACCTCAGGTAGGATGTAGCACTCAAAGAAAAAAAGTCAGTAATCACATGGGAGAGCAACAACATTTTGCGCATAATAGATATTAAAGTACACTCACTCCCGCTCAAATAAAAGACTCGCAACACGCCTGATAAGAGAATTTTGATTCTGCACCATCGGTTTCGTCATCCACGATCGCCGAATAAAAAGCCTGTCTCTTCCTCCACCTCCTCCTCCTCCTCCTCCTCCTCCTTCTCGCCGGCAGCCATCCACGCTAGGCCTCCAAGCCACGCCGTCACGTTCGCGGGCGATGAGAAAAAAGCATTACAGTCCGCAATAAAAGACGAACGTCGTCTGCTGCGTCGTGGAGGCTGTTGGAGGCTGTTGGAGGCACTTCTTGCCTTATCTCCGATATATGTCGAAATAGCCACTCAGGCCTTTACGACTGTAAATTCGGTCTTACATATACACTAACGCGTCGGAGTAGGCATTTTACTGCCGCGACGAAAAAGGATACTTGTCCCATTCGCTTTTTTTCGCTTTACAAAGATTTGTTTGCCTCTCTGTCTCTCCTCTTCAATCCTCCCACCCGCGCTGCTCTCGCTCTCTCGTGCGTGTGTGCGCGCGCGCGCGTTCTTCTTCATCTGCACGTCAGGAGCTTTTTGTTCAACCTCGGCATGGCATTGTGTTTTCTCTCCATTATTTTTATTACACTCTTCCTTTGCACTTTTTCCTTCGCATCTCGATTAACTCGAATTTAAGATTCGAAAAATGAAATAATTCTCTCCGTCCTGCCATTTCAGCATTTTCTAATAATAATTAAGGCTCTGAATTTCTTATTATCGGTTATAGCTTACTAAGTTTATTCATTTTGTTGTTGCTGTTGTGATTGTGATTGTTGTTGTTGTTGTTGTTGTTGTTGTTGTTATTGTTGTTGTTGCTGCTGCTGCTGCTTTTTTTGTTATATTCGGGTGCGCCCGAAGAGGTTGAATGTATGGTTTGTTTAATTTAATTTGAAACTGATGTTAATAAAAGGATACGAGTGGCCAACGATTACTCATATCATAATTTTTCGATATGTTGATAAACACTTTAATGGCAGAAGGTAACAGAGCCGAAGAAATTAATTTAATTTTAAATACATTATTAATGCATCGAGAATCGTTAGGCATTTTGAAATAACAAAATGCCTTGTCGTATATAAAAGTCATATAATTTATAAAACAATAGATTTTAATATTCATTACGAAATGAAGGTAAACGTCATATAAATAAAAATGATTATACAAGGTTCTTTATTGTTACGCCAAAGACATTTCTCATTGGCTCAAATTCATTAGTAATAAATTTCAGGGCAGAAAGAATTTTATAAATAAAGTGATTAATAAGCATTTGTAACTAACGAATGAAATAATTAATCAATCAGTAGTGGACTTTTTGTTGTGTGCATAATAAAATGAATATTTACATTGTACACGAATTACAATTATCTTGAATGTAACACGTCAATAATAATGAATTGCTGGGCATAAATATGAAATTTAATGATAATTTTCTTCTTATATCCAATTGAATCCTGGCTAATATTTTTTACTTACGCGATGCACAAAGAAATATTCATTGCAACCGACACTTAAATTGACCTTACGACAATGTCATTTGCCGAATAATAGTTGCTATCCTCTTAATACGCACACAAAAAGCCTCCTAATCCTCTCTAACTTATACACTTGGAAAATTGACTTTTAATTTTAATTGCCGCATAAATGATTTGACATCCAATTACCGCGCACTCTGTATTACCACAATTTACACTCGCTCCACTCTATTACTGTGAACGCATAAAAAGGAAAATACGTCTTAAAAATCACGAATCGGCTGAAAATTGTAACGGCCACGATTAACATTTAACAATGTTTAGAAAAACCGCGACTACTTAAAAATACAATAATCAATTTCTCAAGATAACTTGAGAAAGATGATACAGTAATAAAATTTAAGAAAGCTGTAATCGTCTCGAAATCAACTTTTTGTCAGACAAGGTATTTCATTTTTATCTACATAAAAAAAAAAATGTGTAAAACGAGTTTCGGACAATTATCCGAAAATAATAAATAGCTGAGCGCCTACTTTATTTACGTTTTATATTTTCTTTTCTTTTTTTTTTTTTTTTTTTTTTTTTTTTTTTTTTTTTTTTTCTTTTTTTTATATCAGCCGAATTGACTTTAAAGATTTTCAATAACTTTACGTAAAACTACCTTATTTATGCCCGACTTTTCAAACTATTCGATTTCAAATGTTCCGCAAACATTTTCAACAAAATATTTTCTCTCTCTCTCTCTCTCGCTCTCTCTCTCTCTCTCTCTCTCTCTCTAATTTTTCACGTCATTACATACACAGCGATCTTATACATGCACATTAGCAGTCGGTCGTATATCCTCTTCGACACTGCTATTTAATACAAAATAACGCAAAATTTACCTCTGTTATGACGACTTTGAACTTGAGAACTTGAATGTAATGATTTCTAGGCCCAATCGAGTCCCAATATAATCGAGCATGGATTTTCCCTCGTCAGTCCCAAAAAGTGAATCTCCAGCTAACGGGGAGTCGATAAATCTCGAGGTAATTCGGGATTATTCGGGATTCCATATTTTCCGGGAACATTGGGATGCGGCCTCCCCTAGCTACTTTCGAGACAAGTTTTTCCATTTCGCGCCACGACGACAACGTGATATCACTGAATTACAGCTTGGTTGGGCGACGAGGGAGGTAGCGGTGGTGGAGGAGGAGAAGGAGGAGGAGGCAGCAGCGGCGGTGGCCGTTCACGGGAGATGCAACGGCATTCCATCCGCCCACGAAGAGAACAAGGACGGGCCCATAAAGTATGCGCGCATGCGTACGAGTAAGTCGCTAAAGTCCACGGGCACTTTCGTTGTCTTGGCTGCTTACGGGTTAAGGGACGCGGAAAGCGCCCAGGCGAAACCACATTTACGTTGCGAAATTATCATTACAATGGGATTTTATCCACCAGCTGATATTCTATATTGTTATAAAGCCTTCGAGGATTCGTCGATTCGACCAGGACATCTTAGCCAATTTGTAATCTAATATCTAATTGCACGGCCAGAGCGAATCGGAGTAGAGTTTTTTGCCTGCTCGAGTGCGTCGATGTCACCAGTCTGATGATAACGAATGGGCTCCGGAGGCTCCTCAACCATTTATCGCGGATATTCTTTAGGAGACATCTTCGCATCACGTAAATTACTTGTCAAAAAAAAAAAAAAAAAAAACAAGCAAAAGTTGCTTATAAAGCTTACAAATTGCACACAATGACATCCACAACAGTTTATTTTGTATTTCCCAACCAACTCGTGCCTATTAGCTAAGTAACAAAATGGACTAACGGTAAGTCTTGTAAGAGTTTAATTAGAGGAAATTTTCTTTTTGTTTAATAATACTTATATACTTATACAACATGTTTGTTACCCAATATATTTAATATACATTTTTTGTCGGTCTTGTTTTTTTAATTTTTTTTTTTTTTTGCTTGAAAAACCAGATTTCATTACTATAATATACAGAATTCTTCTTAGCTGTATTTATTTTCTCGTCTATTTTATTATTTTTTGTTGTTTTGTTTGTTTATTTTGTTAATCTAATCTACGATTTTGATTACGCATAATGGGCAGTAGGCGAAGAGGCCCCGGAACGATTAGTCGCGATGGCTCGTAGCTTAACAAGTGGATCGAAATTCTGAATTTTTATCGGTACCACTTAAACAAAATGGTCCTCCGCGCGCTTTAGCTTTTACGATTTTAACGCACATTCACATATTTTAGCAATAATGACTATGCTTTGATTTGAAGAATGCGGGTCGTGAATTAGCGAATAGCGAATTCCGAGATTCGCCGTCACATTTGCCAAGGAGCTCGTTAAACGAGATATTGCGGAGCCGTGTGTACTTGAACAATGTGCTGCATATTACGTATTTTTTGACATGGTCGTCGCGGAAGATGTTGGGAGAAAATGGAAGGGACTCCTCGTGGAAAAAGAGCGAGCTGCTGGTGAGCGTGCGCGAGTCACGGAGGCGCCGTCGGAGGATTCGCCACGAGCGTCGCGACGCATCCTGGCGCCGATCTCCACTTGCCAAACGCGTGATAAAGCGAGCGGCAGAGAGAAGGGTGTGGGGCGGCGGGATTCTGGCACCGGGCTGACTTCTTACCGCTGTTTTCCACATTAAGGCGCGTCGTCCGGGAGCGGAGCCCGACACAATTACCGATAACGTTTTGGAAGAAGCCAAGAAGTTTTATAACCGCGTGACCCGATTCTCGCGCTTCTCATTGTAAACGAAAAGAAAACTCGCCACAGCATCGTCAGGGGTGAGAGCTGCCGGCCACTTTCTCGTTTACCCTCCGATAACAAATACACGTCAAGATAGTCGAAAAGGAAAAGCACAGCAGATCGAATAAATTTTATACGGATTTATATTGAGATGTGCTTGTTGTGCTCTACGTAGTAGCTTGTGGCATCAATGTTTTAATGCAACGAAGATTAACGGTTCTCGGATCGCTAACGTTAATTCCCAAAGTTCTAGTGTCTGAGACGGTAAGATAACGCGAGCTTGTCTGTGGATCTTATGCTTCTCTGATTTTCGCCCGAGTGAAATTGCTCTCTAACGTGTGACTGCTACGATGTTTTCGAAAATGTTTGAGGACGCTTATCCAAGAGAGTGTAACTAAATGTAGTTTCGATTCTGGCATATTATTTTATCGATTCACTATTTATTGATCACTTTAAGTTCTTTGGACATGTGCTGTAAAGCACAAGCGTTGTAAGTTATGAAAATATAGCGAATACTATGTGGTTTGGCTAAATGAATCGTGACAAACATGTTGGATATGCCAGCTTAACCAATACACTCGCGAGCGATTGCGAGTATTTATGCGTTAAGGCATTTGGTCGGTAGGCAGGAGCTTCGTAATATTATTCAAAGCAAAGTTCATCAATTGTATGCAATGATATTATATACAAGAGTTTTTACTTTGAGCTGAGAAACGTATGAGGTTTGATTTTGAATTCCCAATGATTTTCCCGCAAAAGCATTCGTTCGTTCGTCGTTCCACCGATTTCATTCGCACTTTCAATAAACAATGCCGATCTGAGGACAGGGACAGAGAGAGAGAGAGAGAGAGAGAGAGAGAGAGAGAAAGAGAGAGATGCACACGATAGGGCTCTGATAAGGCCAGAATGTTAGTCTTGGTAATAAGCTCAATGATTTTCATCATCCAGCACATTAGGCGTTGCCGATACTACAGTCTAACTCGGATTGACCAGGACGGCTAAGATAGAAAAAGTAAAGACGTCGTCTCGGTCGTAATGGGCAGGATTATGCCGAGGGGCATTTAGTAGTCGTTCGATGTTAATGCGATTCGGCTCGTATCGGCAATCGCCGATCGTTTTCCCCTCTTTCATTAACAGAACCGAGTTTATTATTCGCGCCTGAAAGAAATTTACTGCTGGTTAGCCTCGTAGGGGGGAATAGCGTCGACTAATTGGTGAAAGTGCTCGATCGGTTCTTTGAAAACTCGAAAGTTACAATTTTATCGGTGGGGTAGGTAAGCTTATGACTATTAGTCGAGTTCAAATCACTTTTGTTTACACCTTATAGAAATGACTAGGGAAAACAAGTGCCCATTAAATACACTATTCTCATGGACTTTAGTGCTTATTTTGATGGCTTTCAACGAGCACGCGTGAGCTGAAAATATAAAAATACTCGACGCCTCGCGCCAAGCCTACCGAAATTGCGATGAGGCGAGGAATTTCGCCATCTCAAAGTATACATTTCGTTTCGGCAACTTTCGCCAAATAATGACATCCGCCGGCTAGTCGCGCCAACAATAAGACGAAATCCGCGACATATCCTCAACGAGTAAGCAAGACAGATTTCTCCAGAAGTACGCAGCTCTGGCAAAACAACGCCCTAGCTCGTACATATTGAGTTTCCTGGGGATGGGATGGGAGTGGGGTGGGGAGGGGGGCGAGGTGGCGAAAAACAAAGACCGCCGAACCTGAAACCGTTCTTACGCATGCCCCCGCGCACACCTGCGGCCCCTCGGAATCGTGTTTCCTCGTGCGCGAGCACCCGCGTACCAAGAGTTTTCACAGTGCCACGCTTAATTACTCGACAAAGAGTGCGCGATTACATCGTATACAAGGTGGTGGGGATGTGTGTATGTCGGTGGGGCAGGGGGTGGGGGAGAGGACGAGCGATGAACTTTTCCAACAAAGGTGCTTCTACGTTTTGCATTATTCAAAGTGGCTTTGGGAATTGGTAAAATTTTATTTTACGGTCAATAACTTTCTTCTCGCTTTTTACGAGTGAAATTTGCGCGAAGATTTGTCAAGCAACTCGCTACGAGAAACGCATAGCGTTAAGCTCATACACAAAATAAAGATATTCATTAGATAGCGAATGTTGCACTTTTACGCCCAAGGCGCGTGCTTTATTTTATAAATCCTCCGAATGAGTAAAAGTTTGCCAACGAAAATTTTCAGTATATTAACTATCTGGCATCTTGTTTCAATAAGCCACTTAAAAATAAAGTAAACGTACGCTTGTATATTTAATGGATAAAATGTATTTCATTTATCGCTGATTCTAATAAAACTTTAAGTATACGTTTATTTTGAAATTATGAGAGTAATCGAAAGTCTTCCATTCCTTATACGGCCGCATTAAAGTAACAATCTCGAGTTAATATTTTTTTTCATCTTTTTCTTTTTTCAGTATCAAATTTAATCTTATTCCAAGCTCGTAAAACATAAGAATTATAGGTTATGTGGTAAGGGAAATATCTAAATACAGATTGTTAAAATTCTCGGTCATTTTATACAACTGGATTAGATGAAAATTACTTTAACGCTTGCATATCCAACTCTGCATAAAGTGACATTAAAATTGATTAAAACTCTATGCGCAGATTGTTCGATATCGTCGCTCGGTTTCCCTTAACGTATGAAAATTTTCTCCCCTTTAGGCCTGAAAATACCCTCGAAATCCTTCTCAATTCGTTCTTTATTGCTGCCCTATTGATGAACAATTAATTACCATTACAATGGAATTAATGCAAAGCCGAGTAAAATTTCATAATACCTGCGCACCGATTACTTTATAATTCTCAACTCTCTGTACATAGTATATTCATAGTAATATGTTGCAGATAATTTGTCAACTTCGTCACCGCTTTCCCACCCACAATATTCGTCGGGAAAATCGAATTTGTCGTTAAACGCTTTGTGCAGCCAATAATAGGCGACGAGCCTCTATCCGTCGCTCGCTGAATGTGCGATAATAAAAATAGGCTAGGGAAATGTAATTCCTCCCTTGCCCTTCTCCACCCTCTCCGCCCGCACCTCCCAAAACAATCCGAGCGACAGTCGTGGGATGTCGGGATCGTAATTCAGGCTCAGCGGCTGATTCGAACGAATAATGTCGAGCGGGCGCAATCTTAGATGACGAGGGACGGAAGCTCGTAGTCCAATTTGCCTCATTAATCATTAATCTTGTTCGCTGCGAATTCACGGCACACGGTATCCGTCCCTTGGCCAATCGCTTTGTCTCATTTGTTGGGAGCTTGGCCGATCCGCCCCCGCGATACCCGAGTGACCAGCGGTGAAATTCGCCGATTTTCATAGTCGGCGTCAGGCTGGACTCGAGCACGCGTGTCCCTTTATTGCCGGCGAGTATCCTTCTAGATCCGATTGCCGACCATCGCCATTAATGCTGTCCCGGGTAACTCGATTATGCCATAAGAGCAAAGTCTTGTCTTTGTGTCGAGGGGCTCCGGTCCTTTTATATCAGACCCCCTTCGTTCTACTC